TTGAGAAAGAAGTCTCGATGCTGGACAAGTTCAGAAGCGATTATCTAGTCCACTTCTATGGCGCAGTGATGATACCAAACAGAATCTGCATGGTCAACGAGTTTTGTGAGTATGGGAGCATTCAAGACCTGATGAAGAAGCACAAAGAGAAGATCTTGACACACAAAATGACCGTCAAGTTCCTCCTTGATGGCGCGCGTGGCATTCTGTATCTCCACGAGAATGGCATTCTGCACAGAGACATCAAGCCAGACAACTTCCTTGTCACGTCTATCCACGAAGACGTTCCTGTCAACGCAAAGTTGACTGACTTTGGCAGTTCGCGAAACATCAACATGATGATGACAAACATGACATTCACAAAGGGAATTGGAACACCAACATACATGTCTCCTGAAGTGCTTGACAAGAGACACTACAAGTTCCCAGCAGACATCTACTCGTACGCAATCACAATGTATGAGATCGAGAAGTGGGGACACGCATTCCCAAAAGAGAAATTCAAACACGCTTGGGATGTCGCAAACTTCATCACAACAGACAAGCGACCCGACATCGACAATGGGATGGACACGTGGACATATCAAACTATCTGCCTGTGTTGGAAAACAAACCCAAAAGAGCGACTGACAGCACAACAACTCGTAGAAACACTCAACAAGAAATTCGACGAGCTCAATTTCTTTTCATCACACTAGTCTTGTTTAACCAATTATTTCGTATTTATTCAAGCAATCTTGATTCGGCAACTTGTTTGTAACAGTTGGTTCATTTTTTCAGTTGACAAACATATTTTAATTTCCAATTAAACTTTATTGATTAATAACACAATTATTTGTTTTAAATAGTTTGAGATTTAAATTCAAAATAGAACAAGATTCAACGAATCTGTGAAATGAATGGATGTTGATGAATGTATCACACAAATAAAGCACGGCTGTTTGCTGCCCGACCACACGATTCTTGAGCTGTGTTTTCTTTCAAAGTCGTTGTTATGTCTTGAATCGAATGTTGTTGCGATAACATCGCCAGTCACAGTCTGTGGGTGCATTCATGGGCAGCTCCACGACTTGCTCCATCTCATTGAAATAAATGGGCAACTTCCCGATGTGCAGTATCTGTTTCTTGGCAATTACGTTGGCAGAGGCGCACATCAAATTGAGACAGTGTGCCTTCTTCTCCTCATGAAAGTGAAGTACCCAGACAGAATCCATCTTTTGAGGGGAAACCACGAGACATGGACAATGTCACAGTCGTATGGGTTGTACGACGAGTGCATCAAGAAGTATGGCAGCACACACTGTGGTCACTCTTCAACAGTTTGTTTGACGTTCTCCCGTTGTCTGCTGTCATCGAC